GCTACCTGATTCCTGTTGCAGCCCAACTTTAGATCAAAATCAGTGCCTTCAAGGCTGAACTTAATGCTGTATGGGCCCACATGCCAGCCCAAATGGAACAAGCATCCTACTGCAGACAGAAAATTGGGCAAGGAAATTTTAGATAAAGAACCTGATTAAGACAGTAAGGAACCTACTGGGGTGTCTGCGTAGTGCTTTAATGCCAAGGAGCATGTTAAGGAACATACAGAAGTGCTGGTAAGTTGCAACTGACTTATGGTGACCCCAGCAAGGGACTTTCAAGCTAAGTGAAAAGCAGAGGTGGTTTGCCATTGTCTTCCTGTGCAGAGTCGTCCTTGGTGGTCTCCCATGTATGTACTGGCCCTGCTTAGTTTCTGAAATCTGACAAGACTAGGCTATGCCATGCCTCCTTCCCTCCCTAGGTTGAGGAAGCAATATTTCAGAAAGGAAGTACCATAGGTTGGGACAGCATCCCTGGTCGATACCTTTCTCAATGAGTTGACAGGCATCTTGGCTTCAATCAGTGCGGCTGCTGGTTTGGTAGGATTGCGTGGAGTTTACCCACAGCCAGGACTCCCTCCGCCATTGTCTTCCTGTGCAGAGTCGTCCTTTGGTGGTCTCCCATGTAAGTACTGGCCCTGCTTCGTTTCTGAAATCTGACAAAACTAGGCTATGCCATGCCTCCTTCCCTCCCTAGGTTGAGGAAGCAATATTTCAGAAAGGAAGTACCATAGGTTGGGACAGCATCCCTGGTCGATACCTTTCTCAATGAGTTGACAGGCATCTTGGCTTCAATCAGTGCGGCTGCTGGTTTGGTAGGATTGCGTGGAGTTTACCCACAGCCAGGACTCCCTCCGGTGACTTTCTTGCCTTCTTTCACTTCTCCAAGTCCCTGAAGATGTCCATGCCAAGTATAACCAGTCCTGCTCAAAGGCCGTTCCTCCTCTCCTACAGTCCAGCTGGGAAATGTAGTCAATCAGTGCATTCAAGTCCCAACGAATTTCCTGTTTGATCAAGTTCAAGTGACACAAGATGTCTTCTGCTGGTTGTGTCTAAAAGTACTAGGTGCAGCACATGATTGACAATTAAAACTGCCTGCTTTCAGGCTTACAATCTAAGTATGAAGCAAGGAAGGTACGTTATGAAGGAAAAGAGGGGAAATCAAAGGGAAGGTGAGGAAAAATATACATAGTGGGGTACCAATAGTCAGGGGCATAACCGGAAAATTTTGGGTGGTATGCTGGGAAATCGGGGGGGGGCAGAAGGGGGGGGAGAGATCCCATCAGCAGGCAGGAGGTGAAGAAGAGAAGGATCTTTCTTTACCTGCTGGCGGCACTCATTTGCCTTGGCTGCTGCAAGAGAAGGAGAGCAGCAGCGAGTGCATACTGGCTGAGTATTAATTGCACTGGCTGGCTCTCCTTCTCCAGTAGCAGCCAAAGCAAATGAGTGCAGCTGGCAGGTAAGGGCAGGGGCAGTGGGAGTTGTGGGACCTGGGCTATGATAGAGGGGACACCGCCCCTAAATGTCCCACTGTGGCTATGGGCCTGCCAATAGTATAGTGTAGGAACGGTGAGCTGGTGACTTTAGGGGCTGAATCCAGTTCTCAAAACAATATTATCTGCTTCCCGGCCTCCTCTTTCTCAAACCAATAAACAGTTTTGATAGCTTGCCCACAATTTGATTTCTAAAGTAAAACAAACAAACAGCAGCAGTTGAATCCACACTGTAATGTTGCATCTCTCTCTTGAACTTTTTATGCGGCATACACGTTCATGTTTCTATAGGTCATCCGTGTTGGTCTGAAGCAGTAGAACAAATTTAGAATCCAGTGGCACCTTTAAGACCAACAAAGGTTTATTTAAGGTATTCATATCTTGAATACACCTTTGTTGGTGTTGTGTCCGCTGACCGCCACCAGAGGCCAGCGCACACTCCTGAGCTTCAGTCCAGAGTAACAATAGGGACTAGGATCCTAGTCCCTCCACTGGGGGAACCAATGGGACCGTGGCGGGAGATTCAAACCCGCCAATGGGACCCAGGGGTGTGTCCCCTGGTTGTGTATATAGTTGGCCTGCTGGCCGTTGTTCCTTGTCTTTGTTGTGTTCTGAATAAAGCGTGCTATGCACTACGTCGTTGTTTGTCGTTCGTCCATGCGGCAACCCACTACATAATAGTTGGTCTTAAACATGCCACTGGATTCTAAATTTGTTCATGTTTCTATGTAATGCTATGCCTGGATGGTCCGTAATTGTGAAGCTTTTATTGCTAAGATGGTGTCAGCTTTATTCTGGAGCTCAGATACTTGATGTAGCAAAATAAGTCTTGTGGCTACTGGTTACTGTATGGACTTGGGTGATCCTCAAGAATGCAGAAGTTGTTCAGCATTACCTACAAGAGGGTAAATGGTCCTAGTCTGGTTGTGACCAAGGAAATGGCACCTTTATGCTAATTGAAGGACAAAGGATTGAAAAAGTGTGATTCATGACCTGACCTGGATAGCTCAGGCAAGCCCAATCTGGTCAGATCTCGGAAGTTAAGCAGGGCTGACCTTGGCAAATACTTGGCAAATACTTGGATGGAAGACCTCCAAGGAATACCAGGGCTAAGACACAGAGGCAGGCAATAACAAGCCACTTCTCTGAAACGTCTAAGCTTCACTAGGGGTCACCAGAAATTGACCATGACTTCTAGGCATGCGCGCACGCACAAACACACACAATATTCACCAAAAAAGCAAAGGTGTAATTAATGCCTTTGTACAACTAGAAAAGAATTTTCCATCTCCTGCTGAGAAACAAGCATTTAAAATGTACATTCTTGGGGTGATAACTTGGCTATATTTGTCTTGGGGATTCTTGGAATCCACACAGCTTGGGCTTTTAACAGTATCCTAATTATTGCATGCACAACAAGGTGGGGTTTAGGACCCAGAGAGGATTTTTTTTTTTTTTGGCTTCCAGCCTGTGACATCTGACCGAAAAATCAATGAAGTGTACTTTAAGAAGCTTCACAGTGGCACCAGATAAGGCTCCAAAGCTGTTCTCTCTGCTCCCATCTTATTAGCTTTCACGCTTTCTCAGATGCAAGTTGTTTGCCTATGAAGAAGAAGCCAGTCCAGCTGTGTGGCGATGGAGGTACTTGGTTTTATTACAGCGTCCCTTCTTCTTTGTGCACACAGTTCAGGTAAGTGCAATTTACTGAAGTTAAAAACAAGTGCCCGATTTTCATCTGCTTGCAGCAACACAGAGATGGGCTTGTGCGCTAAAATTAAACCGCTGGCTTTAAACATGTTTCAAATACTTTTCTTTTTTACATTACGCAAAGGCGGGTGTGTGTGTGTGTAGATAGACACTACACTGGATAGCCAGTAATGCATTTCTGTGCTGCTTTTCATCTTCTGATTGCTTTATCTTTGAAAAGGGCTTTGAATAATGAAGTGATATGATAAAAATCATCTTAATTCTAAAAGCCATAGAATCATAGTAAGTAACCCCTTGGTTATTATCATTAGTATGTATATAGTGTAGACAACGCTTTACAGAGTAGCAAAATCAAAAGACAGGTCTCTGCCTCAAGGATCTTACACTCCATGTGTTGATTGGGGGGGAGGAGGAAGAAAATGGCAGGAAAGGGAGATGAAAAGCAAAGATATAACGAGGGATTTGTACAAGCAAATGCAGCCACAGTGGTCTCTCCTGCTTTATCCTCCAGCTTCCCTTCAGTGTGCTAAAATTTAGAGTGTGCGAAAAACAAAGCTTTATGGCTAAAGAGTATGACAAGGTAATATATTAAGCCTAAAGCATTTCCTTGTTTTGGTTGGAATACATATCTGTTTCTTTGAATGCTCATCGTGTTACCATGAGAAGCACATGAATTTCCTCAGCCTTTCGATAGCCTTTTAATTCCTCAGTCTGTCTTCCTTTCCACCATGGAGCTCCAATATCCTTTCCCCACAGTTCGAAAGGAGAACTCCCACCCCACTCCCACCCCACTTTTCTCCTCCTGAGCAATAGGAAGTTCTGGAGTTAGTTTAGGTTTTCTTATGTGAATATTATTCTGGAAACTTGTGAGGTTTTCCTTTCTCTCCGTAATATCTGTTTAAATTGTGCTCCATCTTCTTCTGGGTTTGGGTTTGTTTGGTTTCTTTTGTTGTCAAAGTGCGGCCGACTTATGGTGATCTGATAGGGTTCTCAAGGCAAGAAGAGATGTTCAGCGGTGGTTTGCCTCTGCCTGCCTCTGCATAGCAACCTTTGGTTGTCTCCCATCCAAGTACTAACCAGGGCCAACCCTACTTAGCTTCCGAGATCTTGACAAGATCAGGCTAGCCTGGGCTATCCAGATCAGGGCACCCTATCATAGGGCTATAAAAATATTGTTCTTGGTGTGGTTTACAGTATATATAATCATCAGTAATATATAACTTATTAGAATCCAAGAAACTCAATTTTCTCCATGTACAGACTGAGCAGGTGGGAAGAAAGCAGGCTGGCTCTCTTCAGACATACTCAGTTGGCAAAAGCAATTTTATTTGAGCTCTTTCCCCCACATACACACACCTAGGCAACCAGGTGCAAAGGAAGAGAAGAGGAGAAGACTTCTCGCCATAGGCTAGTAACACGGAAGAGGGGATTTTGCAATCACAGCCTGCCATGCCAGTGAAGTAAAAACTGCACCTGCCAAAATTTCTGCCTTTGCACAACTATTAAAACTCTGGGAAGGCTCTCCTCCTCCTCTGTGTCTGATTGCTCCAGCACTCAGGCAGACATGTTCCTGTGTTTTTTTTAGAGAAAGGCTAGCATGACGGAGTATTAATGGCCATGAAGGAATCATCACCATCAATTAGGGTATACAAGATCTTAAACAAAGTGACCTCTTATGCTCTGTGCACTGCAGTAGCATGCCCCCCCCTCCCCCAAGGAAGGAAATAATTTCACTGGTCTTAATGTAGTGATAGTAGAGATGGGAGCTGAAGAGGCTACACCCCATGGCCAGTTCACACAATGTATTTTGCTCTCTACGGTTCCCGGGCACCCGTGCAGAATGGCGTGACTCGGTCAGTCCTCAGTACAGTCATCTTGATCCCCACAGTGGCAGCAGTACAGTTTCCTGTTAGGAGAACAAAGTCTTCGGAATCAGGATTTTTTTTTTTTTAATGCAAACTCAGTGGCTTCTCTGCAGGACATAAAATATAGCTTAATTATTATTGTTTTTTTGCTTTCCTTTTGGGAAAAAAAATCCACAGTCTTGTTGTAGAAGATTTTCATTTCTGCCGGCTGTATTCATGTGTTAATATAGTCTGCTAACATCTTTGTACAGAATCCATGGGCCTGTCCTCCCAGCTTATTAGACGATATTTCATTAATGCAACTGTAATTCAAACAAAATATTATTCGATAAATCCTGGGAGGCAATCTGCCCCCCCTCCATTCTAATCCCTATTCATCTTCCCCCCTCACACAGCTGTTACAGTTCTCATCCTAATCCAGTTCCAGATCATAAAACTCTAGGAATTGCGTCCAGATCAGGACTTACCTTTGTCATCCACTCACACAATGAATGCCAAGGTCACGACAGCCTATGTTCAAAATATGGAGGGACTGTATCTTCCACAAACACAAAATTGGTCTTTTTGTCTCTGTAGCTCCTTGGTGTGTCTGACCCATAATCAGGGCCAAACTATATTGAAGGAATCACACGAGACAGCTCTCTTGAGGGTAGAGAAATCAGTCTGCCTCTCAAGGCAGCAAGCGTTTATTTTATGCACACTCTGCCCCCCCCCCCACCGTGGGGTGAGGTTGGAACTTGCACGTACAGAAACCGGGGGAAACAGATACTCTAGGGAGAGCATCTTAAGGATGCTTACATAGTGCAATAATTAACAAGCTACCTTCTTTAACATGTCCACAGGTGCAGGATGTGCAGAGGTCAGGTCTCTGGGTTGATCAGAGTTACTGATCAATCCAGATGTTTACAGAGTCTGGAAATATGGGCTAAAATCAGGATAGGTGTGCCTAATCGCTGATCTCTGCCCATCTTGTATCGCTGACCCTTGCCCACACTATATGAGATATGTTTTCATGACTAGGGTCTGGCTCCCCTGATCTGACTCACTTTTCTTTGCAACGCAGCAGCAGCAGCAGCAGTGGAGAATCTCATTTTTAAAGCCTGCAGTTGCCCAGTTCGCCATGGGACCACAGTGTGGGGTTACAAGTGCCTTACAGGAGACCTACCAGCAATCCTTTCCATTGCCTGCTGGGACCTCAAGGGCTGAAGGGCGGTAGGGGAAAGGGAGAAAATGGGGTGGGCATACTGGAGTTGCACCAAAGTACATCTCTTCCAGCACAAAACCAGAAATGACTCCAGGCATGCCGTTCTAGGATTTTACAAAACCTTTGAGTTTTGGCAAATCCTAAACTGTCACCACTGATGGCATGACTACACCTCCTGGTTTTTTTGTTGTTGCCAGAAGCGACATCACATGCTGATGCGGCACCTGTTCCAGCCTGCCTAATCATCCTGGGGGCCTGGCATTTTTAGCATGGTGGGAAGGGGCCCCTGCCTCCCTCCGTGCTGTTTTCCGAAGCTAAAATAGTCCCAGTGCAGATTAATTTGTATAACTTTCAAAGTTATGACACAGAGAGTATTCCATCTTCGACAACGTATTTCAAAGTTATGGCTTGGGGGAAGGGTTTGGGGGGAAGACAGGAGCCTCAGTCTCTTCTTCCCCCTATGCTGTGGTCCCCAGTCAGATAGGAGGCCCACAGGTTTAAAAAATAACATTCCCTGTGGTTGCTGTATAGTTGTGGGGCAAGCAAGTTAGATCCAGAGAACCTAACTCATAAAAAAGTGTCTCGTGTATCTTGATCCCTCAGTGAATTCCCCAGCGATGTAGAATGCTCCTTAGGATGACCAGATGCAAAGAAGGTCAGGGCTCAAACAAGTGGGTAGAATGCATTTTGGCACGTGCAACTTGTCATGTGGGGAGAGAAAAGCTGAATTTAGTGAAATTCTCTCATCACTTGTTGAAGGTACATGAGCCTCATCCTCCCGGTCAACCTATTGCCTTTGCATGGGTTCTGGGTCACAGTGGTAGAGGGGATAACCCAGCCCTTAAACTCCATTGCCCACTTTGGGGCAGTTATGGGATATGGAAATAGCATCTTTGACACAAGCTCTTCAAGAATGCAGGTTGGGCCCTGACCCGGATAACCCAGGCAAGTCTGATTTCATCAGATCACAGAAACTAAGCAGGGTCGACTCTGGCAAGAACTTGGATGAGAGACCTCCTTGGAATACCAGTAGCCAGGAGGCGGGGGGCAGGCTTTACTCAGCCACCTGTCTGAATATCCTCCAGGCCCCCAGTAGGGGTCAGTCACCAGAGGTCGCCATGACTTCTAAGTGCGCGCGCGGACACACAAAAGAAAGAAAGAAAAGACTGTCGGTTAGAATGATCTGTTGTTAAAAATCTGGCACTCCCACCTCATGTACCTGATCCTCTCAATACACTTTGTTGCCATTTTGTGTGGCTAAGGCATCTGCAGAGTTTCCAGCTTTTGTACATGCGATTGGAAACCCAGATTTTTGAGTGTATGCATTTGCGCAAATCAAAGCTGGAAAAATACACGCATCACTGCATTCACACAAAATGATAACCGTGCACATTGGGAAGACTGTGGATTCTCACATTACACGAAGTTGAAGTGCCAAAACCACAATGACGGTACGGGGGCTTTGGTTGGGCCGCATCTAGATCTTGTGGCGCGATACATTCCTTGACTGAAGCTCTCTTTTCCACCTCATTTTTATTGGGGGTATTTGGTTAGTATGGCAGAGTTCTGCCCAGTCATAGAAGTGTGATACTGAGTGCAGTAAATAAATCTCCAAAGAGTATACTGCAAAAAATTTATTCAAGTAGATCCAGTTCAGATTCCGGTTACAGTCAAAAGAAGAGAAAGAAGCCTGATCTAAAGAGTACTTTCCCTGTCATGAAGGGCCCGCTTGCCCGGCATCATGTGTGTGGGACAATGAGGGCACTGCCTCTGCAGGAGAGACCTGCAGAGACATGTGACTCCATGGAAGGCCATGTGCAGAGAAGGAGAGGACAAAGAGAGAGGAGGGTTCAGAGGACAGCTCCCAGGTTAAGACAAAGGGAGGCATCCTATTCAAGGAGGTAACACCTATATGCCCTCAAAGTTATGTAGTGCCCCCCCCCAAATGTCCAGGCATGCCGAGTCGCTCACTCCAACAATTTTAACTCTTATCAGAATGAAGCGCCAGTTTGAATTTTAACTCTTATCAGAATGAAGCGCCAGTGTATCCCTCTTATTATAAGGGGGCAAGTGCAAAGTAATGCACATTGGGGCCAAAAATCCTAACTATAAATATTGATGGGGTCCGAACTGACAGTAACTGACCAGGAGGGAGATCTTGGAGTCATGGTAGATAACTGACTGAAATTGTCGACCCAGTGTATGTCTGCGATAAAAAAGGTGAATACTATGCTGGGGATTATTAGAAAGGAAATTAAAAACAAATCAGCCAGTATCACAGTGTTGCTGTATAAGTCTACGGCATGGCCTTATTTGGAGCATTGGGAACACATGCAGAAAAGTGCAACTAAAATGATTAAGGGGATGGAACACTTTCCCTATGAAGAAAGGTTAAAGAGGTTAAGGCTCTTTAGCTTGTAGAAATGACGACTGAAGGCTCACTTGATAGAGGCTTACAGAATTATGCATAGGATAGAGAGGGCAGAGAAAGATGTACTCTTCTCCCTTTCTCACAATACAAGAACTCGTGTGCATTCAATTAAGTTAATGAGCAGTAAGCTTAGAACAGATAAAAGAAAGTACTTCTTCACCCAAAGAGTAATTAACACGTGGAATTCATTGACACAAGAAGTGGTGGTGGCTACAGGCATAGACAGCTTCAAGAGGGGATTGGGTAAATATATGGAGCAGAGGTCCATCAGTGGCTATTAGCCACAAGGTATAGATGGAACACTATGTCTGGGGCAGTGATGCTCTGTATTCTTGGTGCTTGGGAGGCAACAGTGAGAAGGCTTCTGGAGTTTTGGCCCCACTGGTGGGCCTCCTGGTGGCACCTGGTTTTTGGCCACTGTGTAACACAGAGTGTTGGACTGGATGGGCCGTCGGCCTGATCCAACATGGCTCCTCTTATGTTCTTAACTAAATTGTATACATCAGACAGTCCCCTACATACCTCCAATGGAGTCATGCATGATTAATCAATAAAGAGATGTAGCACATATTCTAAAAATTGTATTTTTGTACACTACAGAATATCTCCCGAAGAAGATCCATTTTTTGAAACGTTGTTATGAAATCCGGAGACGACGACGATGTTGTAGTGCTTTAGATTGCAATACAAAACCAGCATTTTTTATAAGTCTTATGACTGTTTGATTGTGGGTCAGACTATCACGACTGTTGGCTTTATACTTGTTTAACTGATTGGGTCGTGTGTGTCCAGATTTTTTTTGAAATCAGTGTTTTGACACTTTCCCATAATTCTTTCAGTGCTACTTTTTATGTCCAAGAAGTAATGCTCACTGAAATTTTGATTTTTGTATGTCAGGATGATGCAATCTCTTGGACAGTACATCAGTATCTATTTACGCACACCTCTTTTCCTTCTCTTTTCATTCTTTTCAGCTTTCACTGTGTTCAGCTCAATTGCTGAGAATGAAGATGCCCTCTTGCGGCACTTATTTCAAGGGTATCAGAAGTGGATCAGACCAGTAAAACACTCCAATGATACTATAAAAGTGTACTTTGGATTAAAGATATCACAACTAGTAGATGTGGTAGGTAATCTGTACATCTCTTTATCTGGGTCCAAGTGATAAGAACGGACACTTTTACTTTCCTTGAGTGGTAACAGATAACTCTTCCCTTGTACTCATTTTCCTATCTCAATCCTGCTGAGTTTGTCTTGGGGCATTTGATAGGCTCGCAGTTGTTCTCTTTTCACTGAACATCAGTTGTGTGCAAGAAGGATGATGGTAAGAATACTGCAGGAGATCCTTTGTTAGGGTTTCTGGTTTCCAGTTGGGAAATTCAGGGAGATTTGCTGGTGGAGTTTGGTGAAACATACATGGACAAACCTTTCATACGTAACAGACAATGCATATATTTTTCATCCATACCCAAAATTTTTTTAAAAATGCTGTAAGAAGTGACCCTCAGGGTTGTGGTGCTCCTCTGGAAAAAACTTCATGTTTCCACTGTAGCCTTTGCTTCTGACGATTGTATGGAGTAGAATTGGATGCTAAGAGACAAGAAGTTTTGATTCAGGCTTGTATCATTAGCATTACTAACATACGGGAGATGTTCCTCAGGTCTGGCTTCTGTTCTCATAGTTACATGCTGTCAGCAGGGCAGCATAGCAGGGCAGCCACAAATCCCAGGAGGGTTACCAGACCTGGCCTGGCAACCAGTAGGAGACTGGGTAGGGTTGCCAACTTGGGTTGGGAAATACCTGGAGATTTTGGGGGGTGGACAGGGTTTGGGGAGGGAAGAGGGCTCAGCAGTGTGTAATGCCATAGAGTCCACCCTCCAAAGCAGCCATTTCTTCCAGGGGAACTGATCTTGGTTGTCTGGAGATCAATTGTAATAGCCAGAGATCTCCAGGTGCTACCTGGAGGCTGACAGCCCTAAGACTGGGGCACATGGGGAAGATCAGCAGCAATGATGTGATGTCACTTCTGGGAAAAACCTAGATGTGATGTTATGCCTCTCTAGGAATCTCCAGGAAGTCTATGGTAATAGATTGCTTGGCAATTTCTGTAGATTGGCAATTGCTAAAGAGGACTGACATCACTTCTGGGAAAAACCTGGAAGTGACATCACACCATCAGCCAAACAGCCAGGTTTAACATTTTTCTGCTGTCATCGCTGTGACAGACAGGAGGCTGTCCTGCCCCTAAAGGGGAAAACAACCACTCACTTGAGCCTATGGGAGTGCGCCTCCAGCATCCAATCACCTTTCAGAAGAAGGATGAAATGTTGGAGGGAAACTCAGCAGGAGTTTACTTCGGGTCTGCCTCAAGGAGAGTGCAGAAGGAGTTCAGTTCTGCCTCAGGGAGTGAGCAGTGAGAGCTCAGGTCTTGCTCAGGAAAAGACCAGACAGAGTCAAGGGTAGCTCTGCTTGTTAGTGTGGCAGAGTGGTTTAGCTCTACCTCTGAGAGAGAATAGAGTACCCGATTCTCAGGCATGCCTCTGGTAATGAGACCTTGTACTGTGTAGTCAGACTCTTGGGAAAGGGCAGGCTGGTGTGGGTGGAATCCTGTGTGTTGGGATCCAACCCAGTGGCTAGTCAGTAAAAGCTGGTCTATGCCTGAAAGTATTAAAGAAAATCCAGACTACTCTCTAAAGCCATAAGTAGTTTAAATTAATGTGCCTCGGCCAGGTTTCTCCTTTGTCTACCTGGAGACCTGTGCTGCTCATCTGTTTTTTGAAACCAACTTGTAAAAAATAAATCTTCTGTGTTGTTAATATACAGCTCCTGCCTCAGTGATTTCCGTATTCTGTTTGCTCACCACTGAAAAGTACTGGGTTCGCCGCATGGAGGACTCGGACGACGACATGCTCTTGCACACGTTTATTGTACTTAACACAAGACTAACTCAACCGGCCCTACAAGGCCAACTATATACACACCCACCCAGCACAGCCCTAGTCCATTGGAGGGTTTGAATCTCCCGCCAAAGTGGCCATTGGTTGGAGCGGGGGGGGGGACTAGGATCCTATGTTCCCATTGTCCAGGGGAGCCAAGCTCCTGTCTTGCCGCTGACCCCTAGTGGTGGTCCGCATGCACAACAACCACAAAGAAACTTACCTCACGGTAGCGAACCCAAGGCCTATACACTCACTACCTTTAGAACACCTGGTAACTGAGGGGAAAGCTTATGGTTTAAAAGAAACCTAGTTCTCCAAAAATCATAGGAGGCAGTGTGTGTCCCCTCAGTTGTTAGAAATGGCTTGTCACACTCACTCTGAGTGGCATTTTCCCCCATTGTCACTCAGAGCATCTGTGACAAGCAATTTCTAACAACTGAGGGGACGGGGCTGATGTTGCAGGGGCTGATGTTGCTGGTGTTGACGTTGCACACACTTCTTTCCCCTCCTGTGTCTGAAGACCACTCTCAAGCCTGAGCACAGACAGTGCTAAATAGCAACACATGGGCCACGTGGTTCCCCATTCAAACCTTATCCTGTCCCTGACATTCGAAGTGAACGGCAAAGTCGGACCAGCTGGAGTTCTTTCAGTCAGTGTAGCTACTAAAGGCTAAATATCAGGGGGTTGCAGCTCATGTGGGAAAGTTGCCTTGCCGATTGCTAGGCAACTCTCTCATTCCCCCATCCCTCCGTGCTGTTAAGTATAAGAGTACTGTCAGTCAAACATCTGTGCTGTTGAAATCTTGCCTGGTTTGTTTATTTTATTCAATACGTTTTAATCCCACCCTTCCTCTTGGGTCAGGGTAGCACACAGTGTTATGCGTGCCTCCATTTTGTTCACACAACAACTAGGGGGTGGAGTGAAAAGTTTAAAGGGTCCAGAAAAATGCCAACCTCAGTGGCCCTTGTGGTGCTGAGAGCCAACAGCTTACACCAGGCCAGCAGCACCAATGATGGACGTCATCTCACCCATTGCATTCCCCTGAACCACCATGAACTAGCAGCGGTGCAGGAGGAGGCAACTGGTGAGCTGACATCAGTCAATGTTCTTGATGAAGGAGCAGAACTGATGGCAGAATGGCTGTCACTTGGCTGTCCTTGCTTCTGGCAGCCAGTGGTTCTCCATGCCAGCACCCCCCTGGGAACATTCCCAGTACATTAAATGGCCAGCCTGCCCCTGATAACAACCCTCTGAGCAGGGGTCATTTCGTAGAAAAAGAGCTAGGGGAACTCATTAGCATAACTCATTAGCATATGCCACACCCCCTGACATCAGGGGCCCGGCGGTGGACCTGCAAGGCCAGCGGGAGTGCAAGGAAGCCCCGCCAAGGCCCTCCCTGGCCCCAGGCAGGCAGGGGTGGGGAGAGGCGGGGAGGAAGCAACTTACCCTCCCTCTTCTCCTGCCTCCTCCTGGCTGAATGAGGGCTGGAAGCGGGGCAGCCAGAAGCAGGGGGCGGGGTTTCGTCATGTGCCCCGCCCCCTGCACCTCACCCGGGGGAACTGCGTTCCCCCGCGTCCCCCCCCCGAAATGACCTCTGCCTCTGAGGTACATTAGGCTGCGAAAGAATGACTGGCCCAAGGCCACCCAGCAAACATTGGAGAAGAGTGGAGATTTGGATCTCCCAGCACATAGTCTGACACACTAACCATTACACTACTCCAGAGCCACTACACTGGAGCCAGTTTGGTATAGTGGTTAAGTGTGTGGACTCTAATCTGGGAGGACCGGGTTCGATTCCTCACTCCTCCACTTTCAGCTGCTGGTTGACCTTGGGCAAGCCATAGTTCTGTCAGAGCGAGTCTCTCAAGGACAGTTCTCTCAGAGCTTTAGTCTCAGCCCCACCTACCTCACAGGGTGTCTGTTGTGGGGAGGGGAAGGGAAAGGAGTTTGTAAGCCGCTCTGAGACTCCGAGTGAAGGGCGGGGTATAAATCCAATCTCTTCTTCTTTACACTGGTTTTTCAACACTTGGGAATTGGCCTAGGAGGCTGGTAAACTCCCTGGTAAACTCCCTCTCTTTCCATTGACCAGGAATATTCCCTTCCCTTTTGCTGTTTAGAAGACATCAGTGAATTCAGCTTCCCTTTTTTTTCTTCGACAGGATGAAAAGAATCAGTTAATGACAACAAATGTGTGGCTGAAACAGGTAATATATATCGTGATGCATTCTTCTTAAACATTCTAATATGAGTATTTCTTAGTTGGCAGTAATCGGGATTTTTTAAAATAGCAGTATGCAAATGTTCCACAGTTGTGTTAAGAAATGACTGCTCTTGAATTTCAGTTTGTCCCCATTGACCTCAGTGGGCATGAACTAACAGCTTCAAGGTACTCTGGTCTAACTGGGTTGTCATTGGAAGGTAATGGTATATGAAAGTATTAAATGCAGTGCATTTGTATCGCAACGGAAACGTCAGTGGGGGGAAACAATCCTATGTCCAGTACAATGGTTCCTGGTTCCCTGAGAAGAACATCAGAAATGAAAGATAGGTTTCCCTAACAGCTTGTCCAAAGAACAAATTTTGAGTCCAGTGACACCTTTAAGACCAACAAAGGTTTATTCAAGGTATGAGCTTTTGTGTGCATGCATACTTCCTCAGGTACCTGTCCAATATTACTGATTTTTCACTGCAATGCACAGCCACAGGGGAGTCTTGTATGTGCTCCATGGTGCACATTTCAGCTCATGTAGGGCAATGATGAACCCAAATGGTCCAGTCAATGCATGAACTATGCACCCTAGAACATGTTCCAGAGTATTCTATGGGGTTTTCACTGGCAGACATGGTTTGTAGTAGCTGTAGAAAGATGGACTGTTCAGTAGAGGACAGTCAAATGTGTCACCTCTCTGCCTCATAGAAACCTCATCAGTGGAGGC